CATAGATGTGTATAAGAGACGACACCCAAAGCATGCTCTCACTTGTTTCTGGAAGTCAATCTTGGCAACTCAGCGCATTGAATTAACTGCAGTGCTCCAATTCCATGCAACCATTCATTTTCAGTGTGTCCAAGAGGCTTTTAAATCATCGTTCCTCATGATACATGTGATGGAGATCCTGTTAGCAACCAACCGTCGTTGCCGCTAGATTGATATTACTACAATTATGTTCGAATAGATACAAAATTTTGTATAAATTTTACTTTGAAATGAAAGATTTTAAACAAATTGGGAGATCATATGTAAAAATTATACAATTCTTAACACATTTTGAAAGCAAAAGACATATTTTCTGCCATTTGTCTTTTAACATGTAAATGTGCAGAGTGAGGTTTAATAATAATAATAATAATAATAAGATTTATTAAGCGCACATCTCCACTAAAGTGCTCAAGGCGCTTGTGAAAACCATGAAAAGCTTATCCTTTTAAACTAAAGGCTACCAGAAAAACGACCATAACCCACATCACTGCTTCCGTTTACCAGCAATTTAAGGTGCAAAGACCGGCTAGTACATAACTCACAGGTGTTCTCAGTTTTGTGGGCATCTAACTAAACAAATTAAAGAACAAAACAAAAAAAATCAATTCACAATAAATTAATTTCCTTGAGCAACAAACAATAGATGTGTTTTCAGAGCACGTTTGAACCTGTCTCTTATACACATCTAGATGTGTATAAGAGACAGATATATATATAGAGAGAGAGAGAGAGAGAGAGAGAGAGAGAATAAATCTTATAGATCTCTGGCAGTCTACTCACTTGCAATATTAGTGCTATATCAAAATGGTGACGTCGGATTCAGATAGAAGGTCCACCAACCTCAGCCTCACCATGGTTAAATGTTTATATCTAAACATTACAAAATTAGTCTAATTAATTTTTATGATCATGATGGTCAAAAATATTTGAACACTGTGTGCTTTGGTTAAAAAGTATTATCACTTACAAAATACAAACTTTTTATTCCATTCTGTGTACTTCTATGCTACGAAGCCCTACTAGGGACATGGGTTAAAAAAATTAAAAAATTATCTCGTACGTACGACTTATTATCTCGTACGTACGACTTACACATGAACGAATGGACTAACCTCTATTTTACTGGTGTGGTATATTCAGAAGTATGGAGGCAGAAAGGGAGAGACTTGTGCGCTTATATTTCGAAATTGGTTTCACGCAGAATGAAATATTATATTATTTGGCTTCCAAACATAGGATAATTTTAAGTGGTAGACATTTGAAGCGTATTTTGAAGAATTTTTCTTTAGTTCGACGTAAACAGTCAGATATTCTAGATGTAACATTATTTATTTTAGAAACTCTATCAAATTCATCTGGGGAACTGCATGAGTATTGCTGGATGCACGCAAAATGTTTACGTAATGGGTTAAGGGTTTCAAGAAAAAATGTACGCCTTCTACTCCAAATTCTTGACCCAAACTCCGTGAACCAACGGCGTCGTAGACGGTTGCAGAGGAGGCGATACCGTGGAATTGGACCCAATTTCACATGGCACGTGGATTCGTATGATAAATTGAAACCATATGTCATCTGCATAAACGGTTGTATAGATGGATTTTCCCGAAAAATGATATGGCTGGAGGCTCATCATACAAACAGTAACCCGCATTTAATTGCTGGTTATTATATAAAGGCCGTGGTAAATGCGGAAGGATGTCCGCGTCGGGTACGCGCAGATAGAGGAACAGAAAACGGAGTTGTTAAAGACCTGCAGACTTTCCTCAGGCGAAATCACCAGGACAGTTTCGCAGATGACAAAACTTTATATACGGTAGGAGCATAGCAAATCAAGGAATAGAAGCTTGGTGGAGCATTTTGAGAAAGGAGTGTGCCCAATACTGGATGAATTTATTCTCAGAATTGAAGGATAATGATCTGTTTAATGGAGATTTCTTGGACAAGAACTTGATCCAGTTTTGCCTAATGGAAATTATACAGGTGAGGGTTTCTGGATCTGAAGCTGAAATATATTGGTATAATTAAAAAGTTTTCTGAAAAATGCAGCATATCGTCAGTCAAGGGCGCAGATCTGTTTTGAAAAGTTGTGGGGGGGGGGGACACTTTGTGTGACCACGCCCACCTCAGCTTACCATGGTTGGATGGCCGTGGTCAAAAACATTGAGGAAGATAGCTCTATGGTCGAAAATGACACTGCTATAATGAGAAATTGTGAGGTACCACAGAAACTTTAAGCTTAATTAACATTGTGCTGAAAGAATTTCTCCTTCAAACAATACCTACAAAGAGGTACAAAGATGTAAGGTGAAAAGAAAATGAGGAAATAGTACCGCTAGATGGCCTAAAAAGACACTTATAATTTGAAAAGTATGTGAAAAAGTGTGTCAAGATTGGTTCTCTGCCAGTACAGTGATCTTTTCCTAAAACCTGGTCGTTTATGCAGTTCAGTTCAGCAATTTTCACTTATCAATTACATTGCATACGAAAAGTGTCGGGGGGACGAACCCTCCTCAAAAATATGTGGGGTGCCCGTCACCCCGTGATCTGCGCCCACGTTGTCAATGCCTCTCTAACTATGGACCACGGTTTTGTCTATCTCGTCGTGAGCTCCATATAACTTTCGAAAAATAGCGGCTTATTTTGAAAATAGTGGGAATATACCGGTACCGTAAATGCACAATGCTAAAATAGGCGCCGCTCTTGAGATAGACACCGCTCTCGAATAAGCGCCGCATTAACCCACTGAGAGTGAACCTAATTTTAATACAGTAGAACCCCTATTAAGGGGACACCTTCGGGACCAAAAAAGTGTCCCAATAATAGGGGTGTCCCCTGAATAGGGGTACCCCTATCAAGGAGACACTAACCAAAAATGTGAAATTGTCCCCTTAATAGGGGTTTTGGCATGTTTTCATACAAAAACAACATACATTCTTTATAATTTTGTTTTGATAGTCATAAGAATCAGTTACAGTAGAATTAGAACTAATTTATATCAATAATTTGCAATGTAAATACATTTATGATAATATAATAAACAGAATTGTACGTAAAACATCACTAGTTTATATGTTCCCAATGTTATTTTGATAAATTTCAAATTGTTGATTTTATTGCACAAATATTTTAGTTCATTCTTAATCATCTTTTCTTTGAATTCTGATCCGACTTTTTTATTTTAATGTGAAGCGCAGCGCAGGTTTCTAGCTTTTTGCACTATATAAAAATGTATGTATTATTTTTATTTCATAATGCAATGGATGACCATATATATATATTATATATATATATATATATATATATATATGTGTTTTATTTTGTGCAAGAGTCTCTAATATCAAGTAAACAAGTAAGTATATCAACATTTGATTGGTTGAAATTGTGTATTTCGGTCCGCCCATTATCCAAATACAGAATATAAGATTACGTCATTCTTTTAAAAAAAAAGAGACTTGTGGCAAGTCTAGGCGAAAGCTAGATTGACTCTTTACAGATTCTGTAATAGGAAAAGAAGAAAAAGTCAACGAGATAACTGATGGTATCCTAAGTCAAACCACTACCACTAGAAAGAAAGAAAAGGTGGCGATTCCATGCTGGCTGATAGTTATGGATTTCTGGTAGGTCCTTGTTCTGGCCTAGGCCTAGCTTAGTAAGTAGGGCGGGATAGGGCGTTGGCCTAGGCCTATATAAAAAGGGACTTAGCTGGGATGATTGATAAGCGAACCAAGCGCATATCTATGTCATACATTATAAGCTTAGGCCTAACCTTCCGTAGGTTAAGCATTAACAAGACTAGGATAAGATTCGAAAAAGGACTAAAACACTTGTATGGAAATCGACCCTTTTTCATTTTCTAAAATATGTGCATACAGATCTCTAGGCCAAGGCAAACCCCCTAGTCTAATTCTGTCTCTTATACACATCTAGATGTGTATAAGAGACAGACATAATATAATAATAATATTCTCTAAACCAATGAGTACGGTAATATTCGAAATGAATAATAGAAATGGAGGCCATTTTCCGAAAAAAAAAAAAAAAAAAAAAAAAAAAAAAAAAAAAAACTGTTTACAAGTATACATACAGAAATTTGAATTATGACATTATAATAATATGCATTGGGATACAAAAAAAAAAAACAGTTCAAGAATTATCCACTTGATATTAATTCATTTGTTGTTGCTTTGGAGGTATAAAATCGAAGACAAACTTTGCTTCATCCGGTATCGGTTTAAAGCTCCGCCCATTCATTACACACTGTAGACCCTCCGCCAATCATATGACCGGATATTGTAGACGCTTGACCAATCAGACGGCTTATTATTGTAGACTGCAAAAACACACTAATATAGACTCGACTTGGGTGTAGGTCACTTCAACCTCAACTATAAGTTATGGTAGTGGGGACTGCACTCCAATAATTAAATAATTAAAGAAAGAACAAGACGATTTAAATGTTTAAAACAAATCATAATGCAACATATTTCGTATACATAAATACACACATGCATACATATATCACTTTCCCATATTGTCATACACCTATTTACCCACTAGTAACATTAGAAGAATACTATGTGATGCTATGCGAAAATAAATTGTTGGTTGGGAAAAGCGATTCTGTGCATATTTATTTACTTATTTATTTATTTATTTGTTATAAATTCGGCATATACAGAAAATATTCGACACATCCTTGTACAAATATTTAAAAAGACAAAACAATTAAGTACAAAAAAGAATAATGGGCTAAGAGCCCGACGCCAGAGTGAATACATTACTTTCTAAACCACTAACCTGGAAAAACAATGAAAAACATTAATCCAACATAACAAACGCCTCGAGTATGCCCCTCTCCCACCTAGGTTGATTTCATCCAAGAGTCACACGAGTTCCCCGAGTTAAAAACTCGTGAAACCCGATTTAATTCGCTTGGAAAAAGACCTCTATACGAGCTTACTGCGTGTTAGTCATGAGTGAGGTTTGACCTTACAGAGTTAGTTACGAATTATGTACTAATTATGCCGAGCGAAACAGAGAGTTTACTACGAGCTTTACGGGATTATTACGAGCGTAACGAGTTTTTACCGAATTAGATACGAGTTAAGTACGAGCATTCCAATCAAATGTTCCTGGTGATCGTAACCAACTCGGTGCACTCGTACTTAACTCGTACTCGTTTCGGGGTGCTCGCACCAAACTCATGGATTACAAAACCGCCAACGAGTATATGCCCCTTTCCCACATTCACGATTTTTGCTACACAGAGCACGATTTTTCAATTTTAAAAAATCGCAATGGCGTCGTCGTAAATGTCGTGGTCAAAAATAATTAATCGTATTGCATCGTACTGGATCTTGATGTCATCGTGATGCAGCACGATTTTTTTGGAATGTTCTAATAAATCGTGCTCAATCGTAGCCGTGAAAAAGATCTTGGTCTACCGCAGCGGCATCGTGTGAGTGGCGTAACGTTGTCGTCGTTTGTCGTGACCGTGTCTTGTCCATTTGTACTACCAACAACACCTACGACAAGCCAAGAAGTCGCTGCGGTGCTGAGACGATTAGATACGATGCCACCAGGATACCACCAAGACCGTGGTTTATATCACTTGGCTCTGTGTCAGAAAATTTTTTCAACACACTGAACAATTCCTTGCTCAATTGGAGGACGTTTCTGAAGCCTCTTGGGTCTTCTCTATTTAACTCTACTCGTAAGTGTTCATACTGTCTAAAATACAGACGAAGTAAGAGCCATGGCTGTACCCATACAATTCGTTAGGCTTATGAATTCGACGTGACTGACGCTTACTCTTGACATGCTCTTGATAATCAAAACTGTAGCAGCCAACAAATTTTCTTCTATAGCAGCAGCTTGCAAATATTGAGTGTGTTTGAACAGTGCGCTTTTTTGTCATGTCATTTGATGTTTGTTTTTGTGATGTGCGTCTTGTTAAATCGTGATAACGTCGAATTAAAATTTTGGTAATTCGTAGTACGTCGTCACAAATCGTAACTCTATCGTTATAATTCGTAAAAATGTCGTCGCACTATCGCATTAGTGCCGTAATACATATTGACGGCGTCCTAGTAGGGTCTTGGTGAAACGTAAAACTTGAACTTTTTGAGCACGATTTTTAAACTTTTTAAAATCGTGCTCCATCGTAGCAAAAATCGTGAATGTGGGAAAGTTAGGTAGGAGTACCATGAGTACTCTACGAGTTCCTTCGAGTAGCATTAATTTTGAACATGTTGTAAATTAGCGCCACGAGTTCAGAGCTGCTACGAGTAGGTACGAGGTCTCCCCAAGCTTCGCGAATCGTCCTACGAGTTTATGCCGAGTTTGCCGTGTTAGCAACTCGGCAAATTCTTCTACCTCGTATGCTGAAAAAACCGCTCAGTGGGAGAGACGCTGAGCTCCATGTTACAAATAGAATAGATAGTTATGTGGATGGCCGTTATGTTATTTGGAAATTCTCTAGTTGCTTGGTATGAAACACTAACACATAGAATATCTGAATTCTTTGCAATAATAATTATTCCCATGGGGGAAATGTGGCTCAGTAATTTCATTATCAATGTTTGAACAGCAAAAGCATTTGTTGAATTCAATTAGGCCAATTTGATTGAATATTGGATTTTAAAAGGCAAATGATGGTTGGCCTACCCCTGAAATCCTTTCATTGCCAGAGCTTCCGTGAATTCATTCCCAGCCCCTGCCCATAGCCAAACCAAGCACGCACATTCACCACCCCAAAGGCACATAGGGGCCTACTGGGCGTCATCTGCTGGCTATAAAATAACTATTTGTGTAAGTAGATGTTTGGATTTTGTTTAATGTGCCTTCATTTGTAGATGTATACAAGAAGATTAGGCCTATCTACAGGTGGCCGTTTATCTATCTCAATTCTGAAATTTTCTCGTTGTTAGTTACGATGCAATTTGAAAGCGTCGCATATCTGGATACATAGTAACCGTTAA